ATCACAAGCGCAAGACAAAACACAGAAAACCACGACACGGGGCTACAGCCTGGTGTCAGTGAGACGACAAAAGAAGAAAGGATGACTTTAATTGTCAGATTATTTAACTGGCAACTTGCCAATACATTGGGGTTCACAAACCTCACTACCAAAGTATATTAATTTCAACGCTAGCCTGCTGCCTATGTGTACTTGGTTAATTAATGACACAGTGAATTTTGCAGTATTTTTCTTTTATTGTTCATCGACTGTAAAATCCGGCGGAAAGTTCTGGTTATTCACGCCCTCTGGACTGTGAACTTGTTCCAAAAAGAGTACACATGCGTTTTATATAGTTTATTTGTGTGCAGACTACCGATTCCTCGCCTCTCAAGCAGATGCACTCCGACTTCGGATACACCCTTAATCATTCGTCTTTTACGACATGCTTGTTAGGGGCAATGAGATCTGTTTCTCCTAAAAGGGAGAGGGAAGGGGTGCCGAGTGATGTTATATATCTACAGTAAAAGTGAAGGTGGTCGCCTGGCATATACTACTGTTAGGATGTAAGAAGCGCTCTAAGTAAAGGACCCTTTTCCGCGCTATCAGACGCACTAGGCACATAGGGCGAGACTTATATTTGATAGACCAATCAGCACTCAGTGGGTGATATGGACAACATAAGATATCTAAAGAAATTTAAGTGCCCCTGACCCATGTCCAACTTGTGGTACGTTATAGTCGACCAGTGCTAGTCAATGAAACTTTCCTAACGTCCCTCCAGAAACGTCCGACTCAATTTGTAGCGGTTATAGAGGAAAGAGAAACTCAAAAAATCAACAGATAGAAAATATATAGAGGAAAACGAGGCAATAAATTTACTATCAGAGACAAACTCATAGTAGTAAGAAAAATTGTGAGAAAGACTGAGAAAACAGTGGGAAGACCCGCCGAAAAGGCTAACAAAACAAATATGAAACATACAGACAAATATTTAGAACTTTAGCAGATGCCAATAAAGGTTATAACCTTTTTGAGAGTGGGAGTGGAACACGAGGCTTACAAAACAAGAAAATGTGATTACCCTTAACAAGACAGTCTGGTGGAAATCTGTTATATTCACAGCACCAGTAACAAATAGGAAAATCAATAAGAAAAACTACAAAAGAAACAAATGCTGTATTTGAATCTGAAACGTTAACTAATCAATGACATCATTAAAAATACTTGTGTGGTCACTAGAAATTAATTTACTTGTTTAATTTTTTTTTTCTGGCACAAAATGACCCGAAAGAATGAATGTTACTTCAAAAAAGACGCAAATTAAGCACTGTGGTCCGTCTTTGAGTAGGCGAGAGGCAGGGAGGAGTGGGGGTGGGATAGGATGAGAATTCAGGGTACTGCAGTGGGGTACGATAAGATTCAGGGCACTGCAGTGGGCTTTGGGGTACGATGAGAATTCAGGACACTGCATTAGGGTGATCTGGCGACTTTGACACCAGTCTTGAAAATGACTAGCTCAACTGTAATATCCTTGTTCGAGAATGTAAGTGATAAATGGAACGGTCACACCTGTCTACATGTGGACTGGGCACTATAAATTATTCACAAATGGGGACATAACGCATCTGACCATTCATATTATTATCACACATAATCACTGGCATCGTGAGAGCTAACAGGCTGAAATGTCTCAGACATACTGAGAGAATTTTAGATGACAGGGAGGTAAAAAAAAAAAAAACTATATAAAAGATAAAGAAGATCTGAATGGTCGTAGACCACGAGGCCGGCCAAAAAAGACGATGTAGAGATATCGTCCAGACAGACCTACAAACACTTGCTGTCACCAAATGGAAAGAGAAGGCGGATGATATCGGCAGCAAGGGTTCGGAATGCTGAGGAATAAAGTTAGTTTTAGTTAGTTCAGTATCCTTTACAGGACGCTGCAGAACCAATGCCAGCATTGTTTGGCTGTTGTGGTTCTTCTATGCAAATTTTACGTTCAAGCGCGTTCGCATGTCTAAGCCACAGACAGACGCCTCAATTTACCTCCCATCAAATCGCCTGGTACTCGATAAAGGCTGGATTTTCTTACAGTCCAGGTGAAAGGCCACAATTCGCCCAGAAGAGGACTGGAACACTTGACTACCGGGTTGGTGGGCCAGCATCCCAGATACTACGATACCACTTGTAAACCCTATCGTGTCCGCAGTAAGGTTTTTTTTTTTTTAAAGGGGGAGGGGGCAAACCGGAGTAGATTTGCTTGCCTTCAATTCACACTTCAAACAACAGGAGAATGTCCTTGGTACAAGAGGAAACGAACGCTTATGGCAGCAAAGTTGTGAGATATGTCAAGCATATCAAACGAACGTAAACCAATGGATACACGTCAAGTAGTGAACACACTCGTTAAGTGGTGTGGTGATCACAAGCAAAAAAAAAACAAGTTTCACACAAAGAGGTTCCCTAGACATTAAAACTAAATTGAGGTCGAGGGTGCAATGAAAGAAAGTCAAACTAGGGTGAAATGGTGACTGATACACGTCGTACGTACTTCAAAGAGGTGGAGACATTAGATCTACTGGGGGATACAAACAAGGAAATGAACTGCTGTGGTAAGCATAAAGGACTTGCGCAGAAAGAACATAAACTCAACCGTAACTAGCGTAGTTACGGAAACGACAGTGTACAGAAAGTTCCTCAAAATGAAGAGGTGTTTTTGCTGCTACTACTAAGACGACGAAGCAACTATTACACCTACTACCACGAGGGCTACTGCTATTACTAAGACGACGAAGCAACTATTACACCTACTACGCCGTGAGCTATTACAATGTCTACTGCTACTACTTTTCTTACTTGACTTACATATCTACGAATGCAAAGAAACAATGAATCGAACTATCCTGATAAAAATTACTGAGCTAAAGAATATCACTTCAAAGCAATTACAATGGACGACAATTAGTTACAAAAGAGCTAACTCAAGGCAATCAATCAACCACTGTCTTTATTTTCGTTTGGTCTGTTTCTCTTTATATATTTTCAAAAGCTAAAACATTCTCTTTATTTGTAAGTAATTGTATAGTATCATTTCGTTTTGCCATCTGCTGAATGCCTTTTAGCCGCATATCGCTGCTGACACTGGTCTTGTAAGGCTAGCCAGTTCTACTTGTCGCTTTTGTTCAGTTTTCAACTGTCACTATCAAGCGACACTCCTAGCCTGTCTGTGCACTTGACACCGAGGCCACTAAAAAAAACTATTTCCAAAAATACCCCCGACAATCCTAGATGCAGTTCATGAAACCGTGACTTGTTTTTTCGACTTCACACAAAGGTAATCTTCAACGCTCCGGCGAACTGGGAATGTTCAGTGAACTGGGAAGGCATCCGTTGTTTCAATGTGAGGCCCATACACAGCGTGTTGACAAAATGTATCATAGAATGTACCAAGTGACAGCTAATAAATTCTTTAATCACTATCATAATGAGACATGCCGCTTATGATTAGTCGGCGATGGTTCGCCGTTCCACGATCACCAGTCTAGAATCAAGTCTCTTTTCTTTTCTACATCTATTTTCCTCACAGTTTACAGATTTCCGCAGTTTTTTAAGGACAACCTCATTGGTGTTTCCGCCCGTCCAGTGAATAGTCTGCATTCCCTTTTAGACACCACAATTTCGCTGCCGTTATATATTTCCCAGTTTGTATGCCTCGTTCTCCTTGTTTCTTGTACGTACACAACTGTAGGGTCTATTCAGAATGTTAACATATTTTTTAAGAGCAACTGAAATCCGTTATTTCCAACTGACCAAAAAGCAGCATTTCTTATAATCTCTACAATGCATCATACATCAGAGGTTATGACCGTTCCATGACAGATGTACCAATTCACCTGTTTACGGAATTTCCCCATCACCTGGACGTCACACTGTGGCACTTCTTGCAGACGGACATATTTCTATTTGTTACATTCTGAATTCCAAACCTAGTTTCTGTTCACAATTTCTGCACCCAGCAAGTGCGCAGATCCTCTTCCAGTCTGCAATCAATACTATATAATGGTATACTGTTGTTGATGTTATGTCTACATCAATATGTTTTTACTAAAATAACATTTCACGCAAAACGAGGTCAATGACTGAAGCAGTATAATTAGATGTAACTTTCACAGCAGGAGCTCTGCCCGTGAGAGAAATCACCAAATATAATGTCAACTACAGCTGTCATATCAACGACTGTAACAAGACCTATAGCACATTTCGTGAACCGTTAATGTTACTCTGCGGCGTTACTTTGCTCCTGATGTAATTTACCCATTCAGTACTAAACTTTCTGCCGGGGAAAAACCTAAAAATCCTAGCCACAGGAGAGTTCCAAGACATAGAGTTCGTGGCGACAGTATAGGACGGGCGGCCCTAAACCGTCAGGTTCAAGATTCTCTCCTGTCCTACGTTAGTTGTGTATCTTTGTGTAATAATTTTCAGGACGCTGCAGAACCAACCCCAGCATTTGTTGTCTGTTGAAGGTTTTTTTTCCCCGAGACAAATTTTATGTTCAGTGGTATGCCACCGCTTCTAAACGGTCAGCTCTCGTTACCACTGTCGAAACTAACGCAAGACAAATCGTCCGTTGCTAGGATCGAACACGGCACCCCGGCATTATGAAGCGCGTTCGCAACGCCTAAGCCACAGATTCCTACCCTACCCTGAAAAATAGGTAAATACCGACAGTATCAACCAATACACCATATATTTATTGGTAACCACATAGATACGGTATGTTTAGATCACAGTACTCCGACTAATTCTTATATAAATCCATTCTATCCTTCTTTCGCGGTGTCGGGGGAGGAAGAGATCTCTAGAACAGACCCTTCTGTTCGCTTCGTATTTAGCACTTTTTAGTCCCTGATATTTCTGCGGTCTACATTCCCAAAGAGCAGGACTCGAAGAGTCTTTCCCAATTCAGGCCCATCTCGCTGTTGAATGTTGAGGGTAAGATATTCTTCTCAGTCATGGCTCGCCGGCTCACACAGTATCTGATGACCAACAAGTACATAGATACGAGTGTTCAGAAGGGTGATATTCCAGGCGTTCCTGGGTGCCTTGAACACGCGACCATGATCTGGGAGGCTATCCAGAGAGCCAAGCATGAGAGAACCGATTTGCAGGTTATATGGTTGGACTTAGCCAACGCCTACGGGGCAGTCCCCCATAGGCTACTGTGGCGAGCCCTTCGCATGTTTCACGTACCGACACAGATCAGTCAAATGGTCGAGCAATATTTCTCCAAGTTCGCTTTGCGCTTCTCTACCTCGACGTTTACCACGAGGTGGACTGAGTTGCAGATTGGGATAGCTATGGGCTGTACGATCTCACCCATACTGTTTGTCATGGCAATGCAGATCATGTTAGACGGGGCGGCCGGCTACGGACTGGGCCTTCAAATAGGGGATCACTGGTTGCCGCCACTACGCGCATTTATGGACGACACGACTATTATAACGGGCAGCGAGGAGTCTGCCCGCACGATCCTGAAAAGATTGGACGCGGTGGTCCAATGGAGCGGTATGCAGTTTAAACCGCAGAAGTCGAGGAGTCTGTCAATCCATAAGGGCAGGGTGTCGGCGACCAGTTTTACGGTGGCAAGGAACAAGATCCCTACGGTTCTGGAGGAAACCGAACCGGTGAAGAGTCTCGGTCGCGTTTACGATTCGAAGTTATCTGACAGAGCGGAAGTCCGGCGAATACATGAGTCACTGGCTACAGGTCTGCTCGCGATCGAGCGATGCAGGCTGGTCGGGAAATTCAAGGTGTGGTGTCTCCAATTCATGTTGATTCCGAAACTCCTATGGCCACTGTTAGTCTACGAGGTGACGATGACTGCAGTGGAAGCCATGGAAAAGAAAATCAACACAGCCTTGAGAAAGTGGATTGGTGCACCGCCTTGTCTGACCGACGTGGCTCTGTATTGTAAACAGGCTAAGCTGGTACTTCCGTTCAAGTCTATAACCGAAGAGTCGGCAAAGTTAGGCTCGCCATGCTTCTGCGCGAGTCCTCAGACCCAAATGTCATCGCTGTCCAGCCCGCTCTAAAGACTGGTCAGAAGTGGAGGGTCCTCGATGCGATTGAACCTGCTCAGAACGCACTAAAATTGAAGGAGGTAATGGGTTACACACAAACCGACCGTCGAGGCCTAGGGCACGGGAAGGTCAATTGGTGGTCAAAGGCCTCAGCCAAAGAGCGCCGAGACATGGTGATACAAACGGTGAGGGACAACGAAAACGAGGTTCGGGTCCAGAAAGCTGCCCAGCAGTCGCAGCAGGGCCATTGGGTCAGCCTGGAGAGCGCATTGCCGAGAATACTCACATGGGGTGAGATCTGGCGGATGACCCCGCTGCGACTGAGCTTTATCGTTCGTTCGGCGTACGATGTATTACCGTCCGGTGTTAACATGGTTTAAATGGTCTGCGACCAACGATCCGACTTGCCCGTTGTGCAAATCAAAGCAAACTCTTGAGCACGTCCTGTCCGCGTGCAGGAAAGCTCTAGGTCAAGGCCGATACACCTGGCGCCACAACAAGGTGCTAAAGGAGTTAGCAGCCGTTGTCGACCAGGCTAGAATGAGGGCTAATGCCAGAGCCAGTTCTAGTATCGCCCCCATTCGTTTCCTCAAGGCTGGGCAGGTTCCAATCGGTAAGGTCAACAAAAACGCATTCGCTCCATCTGTACTAAGACTCTGCGAGGGACTGGTTACTGGCGGTTGATCTGCCAGGACATGAAAGGTATCCCGAGTTGATCCGTAAAACCGGCCTGCGACCGGACATCGTTCTCCATTCTGCGCAAAAACGGCAACTCATCCTGATTGAGTTGACGGTCCCGTTTGAGTCGCGTATGGAGGAGAATCACTTGTACAAGCTCGAAAAGTACAGTGATTTAGCAGCCGGTTTGAGGAGAAACGAGGCTTACACAGTGCGGGTATTTGCCGTCGAAGTGGGAGCGAGAGGCCTCGTTTCCACTTCGCTCTACAATGTGGTGAAAGAACTAGGATTGCGCGGTAATGAACGGAAACGAACACTCAAAAAACTGGGAGAGGTGGCCGAAAGGGCCTCTAGCTGGCTGTGGACGCAGCGCAACAACGTAGGGGACGGGCCTCGGTGAGCTGGTCCGGGTGTCTAGCGGAAAGGAGTTTCTCATCCCTTTGAAAGTCCATCGTGTACGAGTTGTCTGCCAGTGTTCCTCTGCCAACTGCTAATAAAAGTCTAACATGTGTCCGGTGAACCAAAGTAAGCTTGTCGCTCGGTCGTCCAGGCATGCGGACTGTTTTAATTACGCTGTCGCGGCGGCTTCTTATCTCACAGTACCTCCTTCGAAACCACTAAGTCGTCTTGTCTCTGGCCGAAATAATAACACCATCCGGTAATTCTGTGCAGCGGGGAAGCAGCCCTGAGCTTCATGAACTCAGGTGGGCCCACCTCCGAACACGTTTAGGAATCGTGGGCCGAAACGTGTGTCGACAGAGGATAATTTCTACTGATGACTGTAGATCCCCGCTGTACTTGCTCCCTGTGAGTTTATTCTTACTTATCTGTGTGGTCGACCTCCGGGTTACTATTGTATCTGTATAACACTGCTCTCTGAGGTGCCCTGTCTGCTGCCAATCTTGTTACATGGCCAAACCATTTGATTTGTTGTCTACCTGTTATTTTAATTATTTCTGTTCAGTATGACTATTACCGGAATTTACTTAGCCCAACATTTATTAGTTTCAAGTAACAACTGCGCGGAAACAATGAGTTAGCAACTGTGTGGGATAGAACGAGTTAATGTAGCAACTGTGTGGGACAGAACGAGTTATGTGGCAACTAATCGGTGGACAGAACGAGTTAAGTATGTTTTAGTTTGGAGGAAACAATAACATATCCACCGCCCGGCCCACACCCCAACAAGTTATGGGCATTTTCTTCCAAGTCGGAGTGCATTTGCTTGAGAGGGGAGGAAACAAAAGTCTGCGTACGAAAAAAAAAAGCCACATTTGTGCATGTAAAACTCAAATGCTTGAACAAAAGCAACATCCAGAAGTGTATGAACAACCATAACTTTCCGTCGGAGTTAACAATTGACGAACGCGAGGAAGAAGGAGAATGGGAGGGGGTGTGTGCGCGCGCGCGTGTGTATGTGTATATATACATCTGGTTTTACTAGGCAGTTTCACGTTCAGTATTTGCCACTGCTTACTAAATGGTCGGCGCTCATCACCACCATCAAAATCAACACAATTGATAGGATAGATCAAGTTAAAGTAACAAACGTGTGGAGCGGAATGAGTTGAAGAAACTAGAACGGAAAGAGTCAATGTATCCATTTATATTCCCCAATATCGGCTGTTTCAATCAGCTGCGACACCTGTTACCAACGGTTCCCTAGCTCACCTGGCGGCGGCGGCAACTAATACAGTAAACAATCACGCCAGAATTGTCATGGTGACTCATGCAGTGCAGCAACCACAAGACAGGAGCACCTACACAACAGTGGGTAAACAACAGCCAGCCAGTCATGGTGTAAGATTACACGCTGAATCTGAATGCCTCAACGGGTCGATCGTGTACAATACTGCTAAGGCCACCCTGTAGACTTAGCAAACATAAAAGTAATTCTCGGGACTTCACCAGTTAGCCATACATTTTAAGGACACTATTTACCCTGCCCTATCCCAGGGATGCCCTCCTCTTTTTCCCCTATATCAGTTACCCCTTCCTCTCACCCCAACTTCAGTTAAACGTATGCTTCAGGTAGTCCCCGACCCCACCAGCTAAAAGTATGCTTTGGGGACAGCCCCCACCACTCGTTTAACGTATGCTTCAGGGACAGTCCCCCCACCCCAACAGTTAAAGGTATGATTTAGGGACAGTTTCCACTCTCTCTCTCTCTCTCAGTACGCCCCTGCAAACATCTCTCTCTCACACAACACATGCATTCACTCTGGCTTGCTGGCAGGACCACAGTAGGTACAAGAAAAGAAATTGACCAGGCGGATATTCTCAATGCTCTCAATGAGATAGGATATGAGAAAATGATCCAGGAGACGACGATGAATCGGCAACACTCAAAAGACTACACAAACTTCAGGTCAAAAGAGGCGTCGCCAAATATGAACACTATAGAGGTAGCCAGGGGAGAATAGTAAACCAACACAGACCTGGTGTTATTTATTAATCGCCATAGGCGAGGTCTATACTGATGGGATCCCAGCGCTTATGGACTCGTCCGATGTGCAATGAGGACAATCTGTCGATGAACTAACACTTCTTACCGTCCTTGCAGTCTGGTGCTAGTCACAGTGCTATGATGTCAACAAATGTTTTGTTTTTCTTATGATTCATGTTCTCTTGACAACATCTGCCTTGTTCTTTGTCAATTAAATTTCATTAAAGGAATCATTACTCTGCCCAAGAAGTTACCATTCATCTATACACACACAAAAATACTGTACTATACATGCTGACTGTTCATGATTCACTTCTGTACATCAGAACTAGATCAGAATAGCAGAACTTCAAATGTTTAAGATATGCAGCAAAGAATATTCTTCATCTTAGATACTATCATGTGAGCCACACACAGCACATGATAAAGGTAAACAAGGCCCAAGTGCAAACTTATCAAGTTTCAGCAACTAGGGGAGCTGATGAAAAAAGTGATGCACTGTACAATAAATAACACATGTTATCCTCAGATCTCTATCAATATAGACCAGTACACTTGGACCATCTCATCAAGTTAAATCTTCTCATTCATTTTCTGTTCTCTGGAGGTGCTGCTGATGCTGTTTTTTCTGTGACTTGAACCACAACTGCCTGCATCCTTACCCACATTGGTATTCAGGTCACATCTGGCTGGTGTAGCCTTATGATGGCCTCATTATAACAACTTTGGAGGTTGAAAAAGTATCTTGGATCTGAGTTATTGGTCTGCCGTGCAGATTCTTTCTTCTTTTGTTGTCTCAGTATTTGTTTTGCGCTTCTCAGATGGCTTGGTGATGGATTTGTTAAAATTTTTGGTACATCATTTATCCATCTCTTTCTTGGTCTTCCTCTCACCACCTTCACAGATGTTATGCTGTAAAAAGTTGCATATGCAGTTTAGTCTGGCTGCATTCTCACTAGATGGCTGAACCATTTCATTCTTTGTCAAAACACCTGTATAGTCGTCCAGAGATGGTCTTATTACCACTTTCTTTCTAAAGCTGGTATTCGTAACCCTGTCTCTTCTTGTGTTGTAAGTGACCTTGCAGAGACAGCACATTTCACATGTAGTTATTTTCTGTTCTAGTGCTCTATTCATTGTCCATGTTTGGCACTGATAGCATACTTTAGTATTGCTAAAGATGCTACTGATCCTTTGCTGTTTTCCTGGAAGGGAGATATTTGGGTGTCTAAGCAGTGGAGCTCACTGGTAGGTGGCTGCATTTGCCTTCTCTACTCTGGCTCCTATCACTGTATCGAATCTGCCATCCTCTGTAAATATGCTCCCTAAATATTCAAATTCTCGTACTTGTTTGAACGTAG